CAGGTATATGCATGGGAAAGAATATACAAGCCATCACTTTTCGTGTTATCAACGCTCCCTTGTTTTCATTCGATCGCTCGTCACCTGCTCGGGCTCGCGCATCCTCACGGCCAGATGGCGACAAAACTGTGCCAAATCAAGCGATGCTGTGAAAATAAAACGAGAAAAACGTCGCAAAAGGGTAGAATAATTCAAGGGTTTTTCGATCAGCTGCTACCGCAGCCATTACAACTCGTTCGTGCAACGCACCCTACTTTTAGCGTCGAGGCGGCCGGGGAAAGCATTACTTAAATGAACGTGTGCAGGGGGGACTGAACAAGAAACGCGTAGAAAAACAGTGAACGTCGCTGTTAACGGCAACCCCTTAACACTGCTGGCATTGGGGCTCGGGTATGCTCAGTCGTCGGCTGAGGAAACGACGAGGCAGCAAGAGACCTAACATACAGAGGGGTCGTAAAGAAGTTAGCGGTAGCAATACATGACGGGTGGAAGATGAATGAAAAGGCAGGGTCGAACGCGGAAGAAGAACTGTTTTGCAGTTCAATTCTACCCCCTCCCACCTGCCGTCCATGCACCGGCCAGTGCTAGCGATGCGCCACACACCGGTGCTCTATTTAGGCTTCAGGCCTGAGAAACGGCCCACCATAGCTTTGACTTGTTTCCACAGTGGTCATGGTTGTTGTGCCGTTGGTCCTAACGGATTGCCGCACTCCGCAAAATTCTAAAGCGTATTACCTATCCGCTCTGTGGATGCCAGGCTGCTCACAACTAGTCTAACAAAATGTCGTGTCATAGAGTTAGAAGCAACGATCTTCTGTCCGGCAACGTCTTAAATATACGTTTGAAGAGTTCGATTTTTTTTATCCCAGTCCGTATTCACCTGCTTGGACGTTACGTGCGAGCGTAGATTAAATGAAAATATCGATGTTAACGATGTAAGATTGAGACACTAGGAAAAAATGGTTTCGGCCGTCAATAAAATACGGAAACGTATAATCCTTAGCGACAACACATCGTAACAACGTACCACATCACTCCTAAATTGCCAATATTTGTCGATCGATACAATCATCAGTTGTGTACTTTAATGTATATTGTGTCAGGCATGTATGATATTGGGTCAAGTTGTTTGTACGTCCCATGACGTACGGTATACTTCATATTCGAGTTAAACTTATCTGATGTTACTATCAGCGAAGAAGTAAACGCGTGGTGCTTTACTACATAAGTGCGACTCGTGCCTTGCAATCTCGAAATAGAACGGACTCGAATAAACGTTTCGATTTAAAATGTAAAATGCAAAAAAAAAACAAAAAAAAAAAATGCGACGAGGCAATTGTAGTCGTAACGAGCACAAACCAGAAACGATTTTCCATTCCATGGTTGATTTCACTCGTTCACGTTACACCCAACCTACGCTAAGTTATGGCACACACCAATAGTTACCCCAATTACAATTCTTTGATCTTTTTTATAATTATTTCATTATTCGCTTTACGTCTAGCCTCATAACATGTAGTCGACGACGATACCGGAACACGACTACAGTGATCTATCTGGCCGATTTCAGTTCTCCGAAAATCCTGTTGTGGAAATTCTCGCTGCAGCTAGCTATCCTATATTCTCCTTATTGAGTCGATCTATTATCGTGCCTCGGTGATCCTGTTGCAGTTAACCCGTCCAAATGATTGGTCACGTTCTCAGTGTAACATGTAGCTCCGTCAGACTGTACGTCAGTGGTCCTGTTAGCCTACTAAGGTATTCTAGTGATCTCCTCACTTTTTCTGTCTTAATGATGTCTTTTACCCACTAATAACGCTGCATCTATCTCAGCTCGCTTTTAAAATAGTCAATCTAAGCCAAAACAAGTTTCGCGAGCAAATCTACCTGTATATATCAAGCTAACGTCAATGTTTCGTGCATATGGTGTCACGCCAAAAGTCTACTAGAACTCATTTGCAACATTATAATTACTTTTGCTCTCCCGTTAGAGCGTTCTTGTATTTTCGGAACCTTCGCTACCTCAGTTAATCCGTCCTCCAACATATACACGGACTTACTCATTAATTATGAACTACCTCCGTAAATTCACTATTTTACACGCTAGTAAAACTAGAAATCCTACGCCCAGTTAGCCGCTCAAGGTGAAAGCAGAAAAAGTCAGCTCAAACCAATCACCACGAGGATCATATGGGTCGAACAAATAAACACACAGTTTTAGCAGCTCGGTAGCGACTAGATAGACAGGTTATTACTTTTAAATACGCCAGCTGTTCCAAACTGTAACAACTGCAAGTTGTGAGCAAATAATAGCTACTTGTTTGCTTTTACCATTGCGTCATCGGGATCCGATCCTATGTAACAATAGTTTTGTATTGAACTAAACATCCACGTTCCCGATGGCCACGCTGACGAAAAATTTATATGGATCAGAAAAAATCCAATCAACTGCTAACAACAACAACAGCAGCAGCAGCTATTGACTATATTGTTCCCTCTTCGAAGAGAACTTCATAGTAGAACAAGCAGCTGCGATGCTAGTCACAACCATACCAACTTCATCAAGTGAACTAGTTATGATATAGCAGTAGAGGTAGTACTATAGGTTTAAGGGCAAACGGAGCAGACGAACGAAGCAAGTCACCAGGGGGGCAATGAGCGAATAGATCCGTGTCATGAGCACCACCCATCCTATTCAACGGAACCAGCTGAGAGCTCCGTCTAAGAGCACGGAGCGTACAGCGACAGCCCAGCTAAGCAGGGCATAGGTGCCGAGGGGTTACCGTTCAGTACGTTTTATAACACAAGAGTACGGAGATGCGCGAGCCGGGTTTTGAACTGAGGGGTCTGTAGGGGTAAAATTGTTTATTACGGGGGACACTGCGGATCGGAGGTAGCCGAGCCGAGTCGGTCGGTCGGTCGGTCGGTCGATCGCAGAGCCGCCGGTGATAATGCTTCGTTTTTGTACCGGAGGTTTTGGCGGTTGACAGCGAATAGCGGTGACGGCGACTGCGGCGAAGGCGATGATGGTGCTGGTGGTTGTATCAGCGGGTGCGATGGAGGCAAGGTGCTCTTCCGTCGTGCTCGAGGGTAATTTACCACACGTGCTAAGTTTGGCAGGCCCGGTCAGCGGTGCCGGGCCTCGTTGGTGTGTGATGCCTCAGCTCGTCAATTCAGTGTGTCGACCATTGGATTCGGTGCGTCCGCAGACGGTGCACGGCAAAATGACTTCTATCAATTGTTTTTACATTCAAGTCAACAACAGGGGCAGCAGGAGAAGCTCGCAAACTCGCCGACTTACGTGCGTATCTTCAGAGATAATACGAAACGACGCCCAAAGACCTATCGGGATTGTCGTATCTGACACAATAGGTTGTATTACAGTGTGACATCCAACGATAATAATTTAGGTAGTCAATTAAAATACGTCTAGTGATATTGGATGGTAATTTGTAGTTACTGGACACTTTTGAAAAATTCAGCGATTCGACACCATACTTTTTTAACAGCTATCGTTAATAGTAGATTCGCTAAGAGTAGCGTTTTTAATTACCCACGAAATTGCTTCAGCATGATTAATTTATTTTAAAAAAAATTGCCTTCGACAGTGCCATGCGTCAGAGTTGCGAAAATCGCCTCTAGTGCTCCAGTATGCCATTGATAGACATTTGTGTCATAGAATATTTATTTATATTTACAAAAAGTAGCTTAGTTTATAAACTACAAAGATTTTTGAATGTATCCAGGTTGGCCAACACTCTACTACTAATTAAGTTTAGGGACTTCTTCAAGTTTTAATAGTTTTTTATCCTGTTATAGCCATAACGGCACAAAGCAATGAAACACCTGCCGGGCTGTTTCAAACAGCAACATATGGCTGCAAGCAACGTTTTTTTATTAGCGAACTTAGCGAACTTTAATTTCACGAATCTCTAGATTAGATCCCTGTTGCTTAGACCTTGTTGATGTTTCGTGGCATCGCTTAGATGCTTTCGAAGATTCGAAAGAATGTACACCCTAGTCCGAGCAGTTAACTTTGAAAAGGTCCAAGTATGCAGATTATGTATACCATAATCTGCGTTGGTCGCAAAACTGGATATACTGAGCAACCTCCAGCTTTAGAGCGCACAAAACCAATAATGGCCACGGCTTGTAAGAGTAAACCCTTGACTGTTGCCAACGTGTTTTACGAGATTGTCTTCTCGCAATGGGCTTCTAACAACAGTACCTGTCGAGCGTAAAAATTACTAAACACTGTTATTTTTACCTGCAGTATTGAGTGAGGTGTTTATGCTTCACTCCAATGTTTTGCTATGTGGCTCATCATCAGATGTGATATACTGTACCGTAGTACATGTGACGATCAGCTAATGCAATATGTAAGCAGGCTATGGCTTGATTGAATCATTTGACACGATCAGATGATATTGAGGGTGAAGTTTTACTATCTAGAGACTATTTTCTAAGAATAATCTGTTACCCGCAGTATACGTTAGCAAAGTTTCGAGTGAAGTTACATATCACTCGAAAGGAAAAGGAGTGAACAGCTTCAATTTCGAATTGGAATAACACCACCATTTGTAAGCACTTTGTGGGAAAACTTTTGACCTTGGGAGGATGAACGTCAGCCGACTTGATACTAGCGGTACGTTGTGCACGACTTTATCACAGAGAAAAATGCCTACCAACGTAGTTGTTTTACAGTAGTTCAGAACAGCTCACTAGCGAGTGGGCACTAGAACACTTAAAGTACAGGTGGTGGCAAGAGTTGCATTTTCCTACTCCTTTAGACAAAAAGGGTTTTTTGACGTAATCCCAACATGTGCTTCGTATACAGGTGCAGGGGCAATGAGATAGGTACTCTCTATTATTGGGTAGACAGGAAAACGTTAAACTTGGCACATCGTTGAAATTATTTTCTACAATGAATTTATTACGGGCAATGCAGGCCTACCAGTTCTCTTGAGTCTCATCAAACCCCTATTATTGTTCAAGCTTACCTGAGACTGTGGATATTACTCTTTATTCCAGCGACTTTGGCGACTTGCTTTTCCTGTTTTTTTCAAAAAGGGAACAACACTCAGCCAATTTGAATTGCGTGTAAGTACGTGTACCTTCGCAGATCACACGAACTAGTGTATTTAGAAATCCTCAAATGCAAACCTTTACTATCCACAACACCACAACGTAAAGTATCTTCGTTTCGTAACGAAAGAGTTTCTCACCATTTAATGAAGTCACTTTCGATTAGTGTTGGCTCAATGTCAATCCCCGCGATTCTCTAGGTTTTTTGCTTAGTTTTCTTCTCTCTAGTAAATATCGCAAATAATCCGGCTAGCTCACTATTATCAATTGCTCTATCAATCCGCAAACGCCATAATCACATTTTTGCTTGTAGACTTTTCTCTTTACACTCACTATACACATATGTTTAATCCTTCCTCAGAGTCTGATCACAGTTAGCACATTTCACATAAATTAGACAGTGACCAATAGCTTTGACGGCTTCTGACACTGTGTACGTACGATCGATCCTATGACCCGTTCGCTACTAATTGAAAATTAATTCCATAACTGTTGGGTTCCTTTCATTCTACTCACGCCACAACAGCATACGACCATGATCATTGGCAGGGCTGATCTGTTGGCCACCAGCGGCTCGAGCAACGCGAGAAATACACTCTGGACCTAACCACACTCAATTTGTTCCTCGATTCCCTAACTTCACAGGGTCGCGCTGCGTGAACCCTCGGCTAGAGCTTAGAACGATGTGAGCAGCTGCAGAGTGACGGCTCGAATGAGTCTGCCTAACCGCTAGAGGGCATGCTGCCTCCATGGCGCTGTCTGGAAACGCACAGTGTCCACTTGGTGGCGTAGCGACCGTGGCGCCTCGTCGTGGCCACCTTGAGCACTAAATGGGCGTGTGATGCGATTGTAGCCTCACTTTTCGGGGTGTCTCTTGACGAGAGCGTTGTAAAGGCAACTCTGTAAGGACTTTGGCCGAGCAAGGAAGTTAGCTAGAACAAGGAACAGAAAGAGACACACGTTTGTTTGTTGAAGACACACCTGATTGATTGAGGGATAGGGAAGGCAGATTAGTCAAGCGAAATGGGTAAGCAACTTTAGCTGCATATCACTCCAGTACTGACGGGCAACTGTAGGTCGAGCCTAGGCCCACGATTAAGTGTACACTGCATGGTATCTTTGTTGTATAATAATATTTTATGGTGTGCTGGATACATCCTTGCATTTGATCTGGTCAAGTGTTATGCTGATTGTATTAACATATACGCTCCGATACCACTACAGCTCTACGACTACGAACTTTTGAATGTATTTTTAACTTCAAACCAGCGAAACGGTGATTGAAAAATGTTTTGTTCGTGGCTTACCGAGGCATAAGATTCCTTTACTTGTCAGGCAAACTTAATGCTCCGTTGCCTGTTACATAACTTAATCGTTAGTCGCATAGTTCCCGTCTAACTACTTTCTTATCTAATATCCTAGCTATTTGGCTTGTGCTTTGAGGTTGTGTTGTCGACGGCATTACTGGCCCATCGAATAAGCTTGAAATATTGAGTTCATATCGTTTGTTTTGGTAGATACGAGATATTTTATGCCATCACCTGTGCGGTGCTGTTCGTTTTTCGTCCGTATGATGTAACTGTTTGCCTGAACTTATTTTCCTGGCATACGAGTTCTGGAGATTAAACGGGCTTCTTATTTGAATAGCTCACCCCTACATAATCCTCTCTCGAATCTACATGTCCTGCGAAACGTTACTTGTGTACCTCTGTGTCACCTTGCTGAAGTCGAGTCTTACTTCATGTTTCAAATATTGTCATTTCCTCGTTTTATACTACTTGATCTTCATGGAATATCCAGCGCAACCCGCGACTACACAGCGAACCGGACTGTATAACATCCTAGACAGACAGAACAGATTAGCTCAGGTTGTAGCAGTTATATATATATATATGTATATATTGGCAAGAAGAGTTTGAGATGTAATTATTCTTCATTATTAGGACATAATATAACTATTCTTCACAATGAGATACAGTAAATGTCTAATCGCCTTCGAAATAAAAGTAATATACCATTTCAGCGAGTTAACAGATTATCACACGATAGCAAGTACCATACAGGTATAATGTAAAACGTGTTAAAATCGTATAGTGTAAAATGTGTTGGACGTGTCGCATCATTCGAAACCTACAATAAGGTGAACGGATAAAATGGATGCGCGTTTATGCGAAATATTTTCGAATCTTTGGTTAAATCAATCTACGGTCATGCCATAGAAAAGAGCCGAAAAGTTCTGCAAAGTGGCTTCGTTTAGATTTTTTACTCTGCATCAACTATATGACCAAACTGATAATAAAACTCGCCGTTCCTAAGTTAACGTGCCGCAGTGCGACGATAAAGATCCGAACACGCGTGATAAGTCGTACTTGAGCGTCAGTGTAGTCAAAATCTCATCGCAGCATAGACAAAAGCGTAGGTCAGCAGAGCTCCTGTCCACAAACCCGATATTCGTTATTAAATAAGGATCGTCATATGAGAATTATACTAAATGGGCTATTCAATATAGAATCCATTTAGGTGTGGCCTTCTTAACATAGGCTAAAGCTACCTCTGAAACGATTCTCATTTTCACGGCACCTGACATCAACTGCGTAAGGAAAGGAAACGCTGAATAGCTTTACTTGCTAAATGTGTTACCTATTTTTTTTTAAATGCATTACGTTTTTACGTATTACGGGGATAGCTCATTCGCGTGGCATTTATCCCTTCATAGATACAAATAGTGAAAAATTGATTTTCTTTTCGAGTGTATATTTTGTGCCTCCATAATGCCGCCGTGTTGTCAAGTTGCTCAGGGACAGAGCGGAACTTGGACACACGGTTCGATTTGTCCCGGAAGATCCATCAGCTGGCTGAATCAAGAGTTAGGCAATAGCGCTGGACGTAAAACTCGAAAATCTACATAAAAACGCAATACTCTATTTTACGCCGGCAAAAATATCCGCCTTTTCGAAATGAATAGCTACCTCATATTTAGAAGCCCTCGCGAAAGTAAAATGTTTGGCAGACGGCGGTTGCGTATCGATCCTTTTGACGCACAGTATGCGCTACAAACATCGCACATAGAGATAGTCAACAAGACGCCCCTCACAAAATTGACTAAATTTGTAAAAAAATGAAGTAGGGAAATTGTACTTCGGCTTAAGCGTTAGTGTACTCCCCTCGTATCGAGTAAATACGGCGATTTGGCCTTATTTTTAGTTCTTATCTTTTGCTCGACGATCAAGCCTACTCAAGTTATCTGAACGCAAGCCTTCTAGATAAAGCTTTAATCCTCGAAATGCATGTTACGTACATTTTGACGGTGGCCCTAGAGATTTTACTCGCGTTGTATAGATCTATATATAACTACGTATTATCTGTCAACGAGAACCAGAGCAGCATTCATGATCAACTGACTATCTCCGAAAATATCAAATGGAACAGGCTTATCTGATAAAACCGTGTTTAAAGGTACTGAACCTAAATATTTGTGGCTCTTAAGGTCTGCAGCACAATCGCAATACCCTTGTCTGACGATGTGACAGCTGCTGTACCAACATATGGTTCACTGCGAATGAATTTTTCTATGAGATGATATAAAATTCTGCCTATATAAAATATGCTTCCAGCCTAAGGCAAATATTTTGGAAGTGGCGTATTTTATACCAGCGATACTAGCATAACTGACGTAGAGTCTCAAATGGACTGGAGTTTAACCCCTAAAAGTGCGTGCTTTTCATGCAATGATACGGTGCTGGAAAAGCTCAACCATCTTTGTCATACCACGTGTCACTTCTGTGCATTTGACCTCCTAGCGGCCGTAATGTTTCCGAAAATCCTGTGTTTGATCAGCGACTTTTTTAATTCTACCAGCGCCTAGATTGTTTGGCAAATGTACTACCTTCTACAGCAAGCAATAAGATTTCAGCCGCTCGTATGTATTCCTCGGACGAAGTTAGCCCTTGTCATTCCCTTAGAAACACCGGCACGGTTGGATGTTCGTCCGCTTGACGTCATTGGGTCGAGCGCATACGCTTTAGGATGCGAATAACGTCATATAATATATGAAGCGAATGAGAGTGTGCGTATCCTCTGGAAAAAAAGCCTTCTGCGGTTTGATGTATATATTTTTAACAGGAGGAACCTGTTTAAAGTTACGGCGGATTCTTGCTTACAGCTGCTCTTAGACATATGACCTCACTGGCACTTCAGTGAGGAAACGTCAAGGTAACACTGATGACCCACAGCGGTCATGATAGAAAATTAAAACAAGTCAAAAAATATCACTGATAACAGTATAGTTGGCGTTTATGTCAATTGTATTGGCTGATACATACATTCCATACATGAATTATTACTGAAGAATAAATAAGAATTAAATAAATAAAAATTATTATTATTCTCCTTTTGTCTTACCCAGCTTCCGAACTTTTGCCTACGCGACTACGCGCTCGCATTTATCAATTTCTGTGCCCTCTTATACAATTGGAAAAACATCACCGGGTTGCTATTTACACGGAGTTATATCTTGTATGGTAATAATGTTAATGATTGAAGAAGGATTAACAAATCCTACGGTAAGTTATTGCCTGGATAAAAGTGACTAGCTGGGTAAGATTTGTCTCAATGCATAGGACTAACCAAGTAAATGAGAATGTCTTGCCATGAAGGCTAACAAAAATATGGGTTAGGAAAACTTTCTAAACCCAATTAACTATTCAATAAACTAAACAAAAATTGTCAATGTCGATGGTGTTTATTATAGTATCGAATAGCAAAAACAACTTTGTCTCTTACATAGCTATCTAGGATATGCTGCTAAGCTGGTACGACGTGCATTGATTCTGCAACATGTGCCAATACAATAAAAGTGTGATCATGTTTTTGATAATTATTAACGCGTACTGGGTTTATCTACAGATCCGACGACCGGGAACTCTTAAATTTGCTTGGGTCACTGCTGTAAATACTTTCTCGTAATCAATATGCACTTGCTATTGGCATTGAAAGGATCCTATAGATCTGCGGTTGAAAAGTAATCTCTCGTACGAATAGATGAAAAACCATCTACGTATCAAGCTATCAAAAAGGCCGATGGTAGGCTTGAAAGCTCAAACGAAACCGTATAGCAATGGTGTTATTAGCAACCGAAACGCTAATTAGTTTACTATATGTATATATATACACATATACTTTACTATATGTTTGTTCGTTTCTCGAGGCTTTTCCTGTGAGGAACGCCTGAGTTACACAGCAGGAGGACCTCAGTAGGTGTAGAGGCTCGGTATACCTTTTAGACCATTAGAACAATTTTTTCTCCGATTTGCCAGTTTCTGTTGGAAATATAAATCACACACTAAATTTATCCATAATGTACATTAATTCTCTCCACCTTTATTAGAAAACTTATATCTTTTGCATATTGAGGCTTCTGGTGCAATCGAGAATAATAAAAGTACAACAGGTCGATAGAGCGCTATTATATATTTTCCTGAAACTCCAGCTACGAGGGATTTTATCATGATGTTTAACACTCCTTACCGCAAAGTGAATCGTGAATGATGACTCTATGACGCAATATCCGATGAAGTCCTCACTAGATGATTATATCTAGGTCGACTTGATGAGACTCTTGAGTACTTAGATGAGCGCTGCAGTTATACGGTCCGTATGTAGCCTCTGGCGATA